CGCAGAAGCTCGGCGAAGCCCTGCTGCGTTCACTGCTGCATCCACCACCACGCCGTCGTGCTGCTGGATCTTCTTCAACCTCTCCTTCCCCCTTGTTGGATCAAGAAGGAGGAGACGTCATCCGCTTCGTACGTGTGTTGAACGCGGAGGTGCCGTCCGTTCGGCACTTGGTCATCGGTGATTTGAATCACGGCGAGTACGACTCCATCATCCCCGTTCTCTTGAACGCTTCCGCTCGCGATCTACAAGGGTATGTAGATGCACTCTCCTCTCGTTGCTAGATGACTCCATAGATTGATCTTGGTGAAACATAGGAAAAAATTTGTTTTCTGCAACGTTCCCCAACAAAAACACCCTCTCCTCGTCCGAAATAGATGTAGGCTAATATTTTAAATAGGGGCAGATGTGTAACTTCCATCAAACGTGACACAGCCTCCCTACCTGTCAGCCCCGTTCATACACCGTGGGCGGCAAAACACCCTCTCCTCGCCCGAAATAGTTACCGGCAAATATTTGGGAGATGCGAGATTACCGTCATATCCCCAACCGACGAGACGTCCAAATTTGAAACGGGGGATAAGTTCGTAACTTTCCCATATTTCAGACAGGCGCGTCCCAAAAACATGGTTCCCCGTACCTCCCCCTCCATTTTCCCATTCATACACCATCCGCGCTAGAACACCCCATTCCCACACCAGCCCCCGTCCGCCACCTCATCCATCGCCGTCGTCCTCCACCACATCCATCGCCACCGTCCTCCACCATGCCGGAGCGCCTACCAAGACCGCGTCATCCACTACTAGAGATGGACGTTTCTCATCCATGGCGATGGACCAATAGCCTTGCATCACGTCCTCTTGCTTCATCGGCGTCGTCGTCCTCTTTGCCGGGGCCGCTCACACGACCTTCTCTTCCACCGCAACGGGACTTATCCCCCGATGCACCCGTCTACCGTCGCAGATCTGCTTCAACGCCACCGACAGCCATCGCACCCCCGATGCCTACACGGCGCCGCAAGAGAGGTGGTACTTCATATCTCCTCAACTTTTTGATCTCAACCAGAAAATAGATCTTAACTTGGTTACTCTACTTTCTTTTCAGCTATGCGGACGCGGATGGCGAGATGCTTGCCGAGTATGGTGCAATTGATGCCATGGAGCCCCTTCCCCAGGAGACCGTCGGGTGCAAGCTGGACATGGAGGCGGCGGGGGAGATCGACGAGCACCAACCATAGTAGTACTCTTTGTTTTGTTTAATTAGGAGCACCGGTCTTTAATTTGTTAGAGTAATGTTTAGGTCAGCTAGCTTTGTTTAATTGGTGAACTTTCTCGATTAAGAAGTTAGTCTTCTTTGTGTACCCAAATTATGCAATGACGTGGATGACCACTGTAACCAGGGAAATTCAAACCAAATTTTTTGACATTCAAACTCAACACACACGGGTTAAGCTATCTGAATCATTTGTGATGTTCACATATCGTACATAGTTCTGAATAAGGGACCGTGTCTGATAACACTTTGCGCGCCAGTTTTTTCGCTGAAGCGATTCCAAATTTTCGGCTTCCGCGAAAATATCTACCTCCCCGCCCCTTCCCCTTACCAAAAGCCACATGTCCCCTGTTTCCGCCTTCCTTTCCAAGTTGAAACCTTCACTCCTTGTTTACATCGCCGCCTCCTCGCCGGCGACCCTCCTCCACGCTGCTTGGCCTCGCCTATCCAGGCAGGTAATCCACACCCGACCCCCATCCTCCTTCTTATTCCATATCCCACATGCCCCGACCGCCGGCGCGACACCTTCCACCCAAATCACCGACCCCTCCACCAAATAAGCGCCGCCCTAAGCCATGGTGTGTGCAGTATAGCCAGGATCCCAAGGACCATTTGGCAGCAAAGAAGCAAATCCCGGCCGCACGCGCGGATGAGGTCGCGATAGCTGCCATTCGTGTCGAACCCCAGATCTTGGAGGAGCACCTCGCCGTCGAGGCCACCGTCGACACCTCGTGCGTCGACGACGCGATGCGGTTGGCTGTTTGGTTTAATTCTGCAATGCGATGTTCAATTATTGTGGGTGCATTCTTTTATTGTATACCACGTGAGAAATAAATCTAATTTGGATGTACTAAATACATGAGAAACAAATACAGTTGCTATATTTCCAAGTTGTTAAGCATGCTTGGTTTGATTAACTGTCTGATCTTCTATTAGGAGTATGTTATACTGTGCAATGTGGTGCTCAGTTAATATTTGGTTCATTTGTTGTGGTGTTTAGCTAACTGCTTGGTTCAACTCTACACTGCGATGTTCAATTATCGTGGGTAGAATTTTGTATTGTTGTGCATTTGAGGAATAAATCGAATTTGGCTGCATTTAATACATGAGAAATATATACAAGTGCTATATTTCCCGGTTCTTAATCATGCTTGGTTTGGATAAATGGGTTTTCCATGTGGCTTGAATTAATCTGATAAATCTGCAATGTGCTTATTTTTCATCAACATATTTTACTGATAGCATGCGAACTCTTACTTAACCTGATGACTAACTACCTTATATGTGTTGCAGGGAAATAATGGGAAGCACTGAGGTTTACAATCGAGGTTAGCACATGCATGATCCGTTATCTAATAGCACATTATTGGGAAATTGCAGGAGTCATTCTAATATTTAGGTTTTTAACAATTTGGTCTTGCACATGTAGGTCCTGCTGTCAGAGGTTTTGACCCACTGTTCGACCCTTTTTGCATATGGGGAAATGAGTTGTCCATGAATATCAGTCAAGTCAAAGAAACTCAGAAAGATTGTTAGGATAAAGAAACTAGCGACAAAAAACAACATGATCTTTGTCTGCACAATGAAGAAGACATCAGTTCACTACAGGATGGTACTAACTATTATACCTTGCCTTTTTTATTCCTTTGCACAATTTCCAATATGGAGAAGATATTTATGCGCATTCTTGTTTTCAGGCCTTTCCAAAACAGTTCACTGATGATTACCTCTCAAACCACCTGTATGGTCAGGAGGCGAGGAAGGTATTCATACAACACCCATGGTTCAATATTGAAGTGTTCCTGAAGAGGACGAAGGATGGATTGTTAATCATCCACAGGCACTGGCCTAAAGTTACAAAGACTTTCAACATCAATGAAGGCTCAATATTCGCTTTCTGCTTCAGTGGTTTTCCAGATTAGATACATCTGTCTATGTACCGTCTATGATGCTAATTTCGAAAGGTTATAGATGTTGCCTGTGAAACTTGGTCCTGGTGTAGTTGTGTAATGGGGTAGCTGAGTGATGAAGCTATATGATGTTGTACTCTGATGTATTTCAATTATGAAAATGAAATATATTGTGTGCTCAATATGAAATGGCAATTAGATTAATAAATGGATTATGAATAATCGGATAATTAGCCTGCTAATTGGGTTTTGCTATTGCAAACGGTTGTTCAAAAAATACCATGGGCGATGACCTCAGGCAACGCACACAGTTTTTAGGAATAAACCGTGTTGGATTAATGAACAATCACACACGATTTTCTCTTGAAAACTGCTTGTGTTAGGCCACCTTGCGCAAACGTTTACCACATAAAAACTATGTGTGATGGACAGCCTTTGCCACATAGTTTCTTCTACGAACCGTGTGTGATGTATTCAATAACGCAAACGATTTAACAGGAAAAGTTGTGTGTGATGTACCTGTGAACATAAACGTTTTCCGTGTGGTATGTACATACGAACGGAAACGTTTAGCGGGGACTGACTGTGTGGGATGTACTTGCGACCGGAAACAATTTCGCCGTATAATTGTTTTTTTAGCTTTACTGTATGTATTTCTGTATTTGATCGCTCGCCGGTCGCACGCGACCTCATTTTGCCGAGCGTGTGTGCCAGGAGGGCATATTCCCGATTCTGGGTCGTGTGAGAAGGACCCCCCTATTGTCCACACTCACTTGGCAACGGTTCCAAATGTCATCGCGAAAAGGGGTTAAAAATCGTTTGCATAGGACCAATGCGTACCAGTGTTTGTTCAAATGCATCAACAAATTCAGCATCGAACAACTCACAAGTAACTGAAGGAAGATCTGAAGCATCTATTGGCGATTAAGGGGCAAGGGTAATATTTGAACTTTTCTAATGAGAACTACTACTGCATTTGAACTATTTTAAACTATATATGCGGCTATTTTAATGTGCGGACTTAAAAAAAAT